AAGAGCAGTACTAATTTTGAAAATTGAGTTCTCTTGCCTATTACAGTTACAAAGTTTTGCGGAAGTCCCTATCATCTCGGACTTGGTAGACATTTTTGGTGCTAGCTGGCCAGTAGCATTTTATATGTTCCTGTGGACATGAAATGAGCTTCAAAAAATAGAAATATTATCTCTATCAGATCAAGTTTCGTGCAATTTTAGAACCTCTCAAGTTTGTAAATTTATTACCAAAGCAACAATTAGCTCAAAGCAATGTTATCTCAACATCTAAAAATTACAGGAACATTCCTTTCCCCTAGGGCTTGACCTATTATTTTATCAGTGTAACCGGGCAAAGGCTAGGTGCGATTATTTCTGGAGGAGTTCGCTCAGAAACACTTGTGGCTCGTAAACTCTACTTGAAACGAGCGAACTGTGCCTGCGGGCCCAGGCAGCTGGTCACCTCCGGGATTTTATGAGCAGCGATGGAGCCCGGGTTTATGAGTTTATGAGCTGATTGCCTGCTGTTTCTGTTAAGTGCATTTGTGGGTCTGCGGGTGTTTGACGGGTTATGGTCGGTTTTGTAGGATAACTTTACAAATTGATGGTCGGGTTGGAGTGAGTCGTCTCGAGAGCGGTTGAGCTTAGAAAAATTGACGGAAGTTAATGTGATGAGCACTCCTTATTGTTTTACAGCCTCTGCAAAAGCAGCACTGCTCATCTAATTTGAAGGTGGTGAGGTTTGGCTGCTGTAAATTAGCAAGGCCCCTAACTGAGTGATTGCCCAAGTCCCGCTGCAAAAAATGACTCCCAAAGCAAGAAAATTGCTTCATAAAGTAGAAACGGCCAAGGTTGCTCCGCCTTTTAACGTGAGTGGTTTGAAGGTAACAGAACCATGGGCTTCAATGTATCTACAGCTGTCATAAATCCGCCCTTTACTACGATTAGCATTTTTGACATTTTGTGTATCATGAAGCCCATATTCTGACTCATTATTTTCAGGCCATCTACACTGGTGGGCGGAGCCACCTTGGCGACTTCTACATTCTGGAACAAATTTCTCGCCAAAAAATTCGTCTTCTGAAGCGGGACTTGGGTGATCATTTAGTTAGGAGCACCGCTATTCATAAAGCATCACAAACTCAGACTTCTCAATTTGATTGGACAGTGCCTTCAAATTGGATCTGCTACAGGAAGTCGGAGCAGTTCCGAGCGGCAATCACCGCCGTAACGATCGCTTCCTCCGGTCGTCGCCGACGTCTTGGCGCGCTATCATCGAGCCGTAATATCATTAGCACGTGCCAGAAGTTGTCATAAACGCTGCTGATAGCAGCTTTTTATTGGCTTACCGCCGGGCGCCTACCTGCTACCCGGACAGCTTTATGTACGCAACGCAGCAGCTGTGCTCGATCCTGGACTTTGCCACCATTTGGCGACTTTGGTATTACTGATAGTATTCTTCCTTACCCATTTTCAAAAAGCTTCTAGCATCGACGGCTTCCGAGGTTCTTCGCTTGTAAGCGTGTGCCTTGCTCACTTCAAAGAGGATCACACCAGGCCGATAACACACTCTAAATCTCTCTAGCACCTACGATCCTGCACGGAATATGTCTTCAGGTGATGAGCCGAGCACGCAGTCACGCCCTTTTGTGGCACGCCCCTTGTTTTGGTCGGGCACGATCTCATCTGCAGAATTTTATCGTTTCCTTGGTGTCGCTCCTGTACGAGTGGAGACCTGCACATGTTGGTATTTTTATAACTCCCATCTTCTCGTCTTTCCTTTGTTGTCTCCACCTTGCATTTCGAATCAATCGTGCCAAAATTAATAAATTCAATTTGTTAGTAAGACTCTTTAGTGGTAAACCAATCAGCCAGTCTGACGTCTTTTCTCTATACTCACATTTGTGTTCCCTAAATTACAACAACCTTTCAAATCATTCTGCTTTCAAACTAGAAGCTATATACTCATTAGCGAATGTATAGAGCTGATGTTCGCTTTTTTATGCGTATTCAGCTAATCGGGATAAACTGGTCTTCACCGATAATCTTCGATTCAAAAGTATTCCGTCTACATCATATTTATGAGCTGATTTCTCCTTAAAAATCACTGCCACCTCTGACTTCAAGAAATCAAAGTTTGAATGCATAGCTGTCAATTTTGTTCCAATCGAAAGTGTTGATGAAATTTTAAACGGCATTCCTTTCTATCATTAATCAAAAGAATTTTATCCACTACCGTTGGTCTCATCTTCATTTTGAAGATTCTGTACTCGGCTAATTCAACTGTTACTTATTTGCCTCTAGCTTGTTAGCTTTGGTTTTGTCCGAGTTTTTTTTCTTTTTGGTTACCTCAAACGTGGAGGAAAGGCATGGGGGAGAGATTGTCATATTTTCAAAAAAGTGTGCGTATAAATCGTACAAGGAGAAAGTTTTTGAATTTCTAAAAGCCTCTCTTCTTGGCTTTCGTCGCTCAAACTTTGATAGCAAATAGGCTGTGTCTGTGCGAAACCGCGTAAAGCTTAATGCATTGGATTTTTGAAATTCTTCAAAAGAATAATTTTATACGAAGCAATAAGGAACTTTAGGCACGTGTCTAGGACCCCGTGGGAAGCCTAGATCACATCACGTTTTATTCTGGGATGAGACCAAATTCAGATAGTAACAGTTTCCTACAGTTTAAGTAGTGATCGTAATCGCGATTTATTTTGAGACGAGAACAGAACTGAAGAGCTGCTCATTTGCATAATAATATTATCCTTCAGTTTAAGTGGTTTTTAAACTCTTCGAGTGAGCAATTTTGAGAGTTCCGCTATTTCGACGCTATGTTTGCTGCAGAGATCGGCTTCACACATTCTCCGTTCACATCCACCTCTTCTCTGCTGCTTCCGCACCTCGTCTTCGCGACCGATGCGATGCGCTTTTCCCACCGCCATTTGTCAGCGGCTCGTGGTCGTGTGTTGATAGCGAGCGTGTCCCTTTGATGCGTGCCGCCATTACAACCAGCCGAGGGGCTGGAGGGCTTCCATCACCTCTGACGATCTGACGACGACGTACCTCCTCTGCCGCGTTCGGCATGCGCACCGCCTGCTGCACCGCTTCCGCTCCCTCCCCCCTCCCCGCGTAGTTCAAAGACTTTCTCTTATTGTGTCGTGCATCTTGCTCAGAACTTTGTCGCAGCACTCAGCGGGTCGTAGCACCTCAGTAAATGCTTTTTTCTCACCCATCAGCCACCATCCGGACATCTCCATCCGGCATTTTAGGGTCGCCACCATATCGTTCGCCGTGCTCTTTCGGCACTCACAACACATCGATTTCAGGGCATCATCGGCTCGGTTATGAGTCACATATGTCGTTATTAGATATGTGATTCTCTTTGGTAGATGCTTTGCTTCCATTTCTTCTTGACAGCCATTGCCTGCTAAGAGAATAGCGCCTTGCAAATAACTCCGAAGCACTCCATAATCATGGATGGAGAGTAAGAGGGTTTTCTTAAGATCACGGATGAGATCGGGATGATCAGCAGCTACTTTGCATCAGCTTTATGCACTTTTTATGTCCCCAACTCCTGAATAGGCGCTTTAGTGTTGAAACTAATGGTAGTCGTGCTAATTGCTTGCCTGCCTCTTCTGTTTTTATAAAATTTTTGGTCTTGGAAACTTTGTGCATTCGGCAAGCATTCATAAGTAAGGATGTCGTTAATCTCCTCTAAAATATTAGTTTGCCGTCATAAACTAATAATTTTTGTTCGATCATTTGTTGCTCGGAGGTGGAAATCAAGAGAAATATCTTTTTTCTTTTGTTGCTACTATGATTTATCCTGTGCGATTTACTTCAGCGGCTTCTATTCTCATTCTCACTGTTTCTTCAATTCTTATGTGAGTCTTAATCCAGAACTACCAGTGTTTTGCAGTCATGACTTTCATCTAGGGATTTACCGTACCATGGTTCTTTCACGTAATTTTTCTGAATTGATTTGCAGTAACTAACCCAAATTTGTTCATCGTTAGACCTCAAACATCCGCAGTTTGCAGTGTGGTCAGAAAGAAAGCCACTGAGTCACTGTATGCACACAAAGTTTCCTGCTATACACTATCTGAATTTATTTTCACCTTAAGATCTTAGCGAAAACAGTCAATTCCGTTTGGTTTTCAACCTTCAGCTGATTCTACAGCGATAATTCCAGTATGCTCCTAGCTTCATTTGCGAGTCTGTATAATAACTCACTTCGCCCTAAATTCTCTCAAGTTTTCAATCAAATTAGCTGATTCATAGAGTGAATGATCTCTGTTTCACTTTTCAAAAACCTCAACCCAATATGAAGAGTGATTTTAATTTATCTTGAGCCCTCTGTTTTCAATAGTGGCCTTTCTCCCCACCCCCTCAGTTCATTCCTGATGTACTCTTATGCCCTAGACATGTGCTCTGCCTTCACTTCAACACCATCAACATTCGGAAAGCGGATTACAGTAGTCCGCGGCCGCGCAACCACCTACACACACGCGGGCGCGTGCTGATAACGAGCCGCGCAGCGCCAGGTCATGAGAACGCGTGGCCAGCACGAGCGCGCGACCGTGCGCGGAGGGCGTGGCGCGCCTTCCGTTTCCAGCCGCGATGTCATACGCCGTCGTCCTCATCAGCGTCGAACGAGAGATGTTTTCCGTTGCCGCGTAATCATTTTCCCCGCTAAATACGCTCCTTATCATCATCGCCGCCGCCGCAGCGCACATATACCATAGCGAAGGGTTGAAGAGAAAAATCGAATTGTTAAGCGATTTTTCAGCGATCGTATCTTAATGGTGTCATTAAGATACGCATCGCCATATACCGGGCATACACACATTCGATGTTGCGTTCCTTCAACTCTGCAGCGTTTTCACCCCCTTCGTCATCAACGCACGCCGCGGGTTACGGTATTTAGGGGCGGGATGAGGGACAGTCCATGTATAGTACCCATTTCTGCCGTTAGCGTTGTGTGTCGTGAAAATTACAAAGCTGCCAAAAAGTAATCAGAATTCATTCCAGGGACATGCATCTCTCACCAACCACTTCCTTCACCTACTCGCCTCCAAGCCCGGATTTTTCTGGAGATCGAAAGGTTGGGTTTGGTTGTGATCGTTTTGAGCAAATACTGGTAATAGTTCATATTAAAAGCCCAGCAGTCATAAATATTTTTATCTCTACCTCTAAGAAATAAAGCAAAAAATCTTTTTGCTAACCATTGTTTTTTCTCAGTTTTGTGAGCAAAAAATGCCATCTGCGATGAGGTAAAATAGGCTAAAGATTTTGTACCAAAAATTAAACTGTCAGTAATGTCAAGTTTTGAGTTCAGTCTCCTCTAGAAAGTCTATTTACGATTTTCTATTCCAGATGAAGAAACCAATGATGGAAAAACTTCGGCGAAAACGAATCAACGACTCTTTACTGTATCTGAAAGAGTTTCTTCTCAATGTATCTCCACAACAAAGGTATGTCTTGAGAAATGGCACTTTCACTCTTCTTCGAATATTTTTGATTGTCTCGACTTGTACAACCCTAGCATAAATCATTCGTTTAGCTCAAAATTGGAGAAAGCAGATATTTTGGAGTGGACTGTACGCTATCTAGAAGAGCAGCGAGGCAATGTCTCATCTGCTGGAGGTAAGTCAGAAATTCTTTTCAACAGCTTATAGGAACTTCTAAGTATAAAGGTCATGGACCATAGCATTTGCTAAGGACTATGCAGAACTTGGACAAGTAGTCATTATGCTAATCTGGGTGGAGATCTAATGTGATACGACTGTGACATTTCCTATGGAGGTAGCGGATTAATTATCATTGAGGGCGACTTAGTTTTCGACAAGTACTCAAATTGTAGGGTTTTCGAGCAGAGCCCAATATGGTTGTCTGAAGTTTCTTCAAAGAGAAGATTTTTGTTTCATTTATCCATGGCAATTTCAGACACAGCCGCCGTATACCGGAGCGGTCGAGAGGATGGCTTTGCTCGAGGATTTGCACATGCTTCTCAGGCCGTTTTCGCTTACCTTCAAATGGCTATGCCACATGATTTCAATCCGCAAGCGCAACAATTCCATCTTGGTCTTGTTCACCATCTAAAGTTAGTATTTGGACATTATGCATCCTGCTGTGAAGTTTCAAATCTATATAGCCTTTTTTCAGTGCCGCCATGCCATCACGAACAGCTCCGGCTCCAGCCGCCGCAACAGCCGTCTGTCCACCTGCTCCAGCACCAGCTCGCGAGCAGCCTAAATGGGCTCCTGGCACGCCGCCAGCTTCGGACATCTCGTCCAGTGAATCTCCTGAGCCCCCACCATCGTCTCCCACGAAAAGAAAAGAGAGCCGCCTTGAACGGCCACCACAGCTCGACAGAGAAGACACCGGTGAGCCACCTTGCAAAAAGGTTTGGCAGCCGTGGCACTGAATTCCCGAGTTCCTTCACCCAAATTCCTAAGAATATTTGAATCAGAAAATTTCCACCTTAGATCTCAATTGCTGACGAGTTCTCCTATTGTATTCCTTTTTAGACCCTCATGCACTCCGGTATCTTCCAAGAAATGTATTCTTTCTCGTTTAGCGAATTTTTAATGTACAGAGTTCATAGCTTAGAAATGTTATGGTATACTTAATACTTGCCATCTTAGCTTACTTTATATGAGTAACTTATTGAATTGTTTATTTATTGTTATGTTTATCGATTGTATTTTTGTTCCATGTTGGAGCTACTGTAAATTACTGATGAATAATAAATTTAAAAATCAATTTTTGCTGAGACTTAGAGGCAAAGATAGCCGTGAACGATTCCTTTGAGTAGGTAAATAGCGGTGTTGAATTTGCTGGAGCTTATCATACGGTATGTTTGGCTTTCCCAGGCGTGAACCGGCTGGGAACGTGCCGAGTTTCTGATAGTGAAGTGATAAGGAAACAGAGACTCGTACATAATAGTTGGTGAATGAGGAAAGGAGGAGTAGAAAGGATTATTTCTTATCATTGTACACTGACTATCAACATCAAAAGGGTAAACGATTCAATAGATAAGGTAAAGAGTTCAATACCAATGTAGCAAATAGAATGCAGTAAATCAAAAATTTGTTGAGTACGTCACTTTTTAATATACATCTCGCTATTTGAATGGTGAATGGAGAGGAAAAAGGTAAGGGAGGACGAAGCTCTCATGGAAGTATTTTTTCTGTTTGCGAGGGAAATGCATTGGGCTCTTTGATTAGTTTTTCATTCACATCGCTGTCTTCGCTATCATAATCAGTTATCTCATCCTCTCATTTTTATGGCAGATTATGAACCTCTTACATTCATACATTTTCAGTGGAGCATCGCGTTGTCACTTTCGTTGTCAATTCTTCACATTTATACATCGTTCGTAGTCACCCTTTCTTCAGGCTTCAAAACTCAACCCACGATCGTTCCAGTGAATTTTTGTGCTTGGATCATAAACCGAGCTTGGCAATAGTAAAGATTTCCTTGATTATTCATCTAATGAGTGTACAATGAAAATAAGGTATGATCCCTCAAGCTTTCCATGACAAAGCTCCACGACATTTCTTCGTCCGTTCATTTCATCAAACATTTTCCAAGCTCAGGCACCTGACACAACTTGCCGATGAAAAATATTTCAAACCAGTTAACAGAAAATTGACCTTCAAATCTAATGTATACAAGAAGATCCATCGATGCTTGTTTTAGTCATTTTACGCCGACTACTTAATGACGGAATTGCTGCGAAGAAGAAAAGATGGGAGAGCATAAATTGTCAATCAGTTTCGGCCACTTACCATAAACAGAATCATCACGCACAACCAGTCGTGTTAGACAATATCAGTCTCAGTCTATGCAGTCTTGCCTTACTATTACTAGTATAAAGAAGAAGGAGAGAGAGGGGAATGAACAGGGGAAATAAAAACCTGATATCATAGTTGAAAGGAGAGGAACTTTAGCTCAAGCCTTTTTTTCAAAAATGTCTTCAGTTCGTGCAAATGCAGATAGACTATCACAAGCCCTTGATTTTGTATGGAACATAAATCAAGCGATAAGAATCATGCGCATGCGCGCTTGTCACTTCAAAGTGTAGTCCTTCGAAGGGAGACGCCCTGAAAATGAACTAGACTCTTTTTGAAACACTACAGAATATGTCGGGAACCTTTATGAATTACCAGGCCATTCGGCTAAACTTATTAACTTATTATTACTGGAGGTGCGCACTCGATTCAAATTCAGAACTCGTTGTCTTTACTAAAGACTATGAATTACCAGGGAGTTCTGTGTGGATCTTAAAACATATATAAAAACAAGAATTGTTAGAGTAAGCTGTGGAGCCAACTCAGTACAATCTATTGCCAGGGTCATCTAGTCGATTCTGGAGATTTTATTAAATTGTGCCTCAAGCAACTCTTGCGTAAATATGCCATACTAACTACAACTTTGGTTCCCTAGAACTGATCCTATTATGATACTGCAAAAGTCGTGAAAATCAACGCTAATTTCGAGTTTAAAATTCGCAAATCTTCGTTGAGGTGTATAGTCTAGTTTCTGAATTGTTCCACCTCGATAGTTGCAGCTTCATCTTATTGGGCTTGGGAGAAAGTGCAGATAAATTTCAGACCGAATCCTCGGTCCATCCTCTCTCAGCTATTATCAATTTATCAAGAAGCGGATTATTTCGTTAGGAAAATTACTGAGCATTAAGGTGAACAACATGCGGAGACTTTGTGTTTGTAACAAATGTGTGTGGATGAACAGATTTTAGAGGACAGATCTGACTAGGGTTTTTCATATTTCTTTATGCAATCCTTCTAATATGTGGCCGAAGAAAGAGTAAGCATTGAGAGGCGATTTAGAGCAAAAGGAAAAGTGTGAGAAAATACATCTTTGGATAGAAGGAGAAAAAGTCGGCGATGAAATTCAATTCAAAAAGAATTATCAAACTGCTAACTTAGTAATGCTACAATATGCAGACATACTAATCTCTGTTCTCTCATCTTACAGAATTCTTTTCCTTCCGCGATCGGACACGGTGATTGGAAGTCATCAAATCCTTTTTATCATGGTAATGAGCTTAACCTTTGAGGCAATTGCGAAGTTTTGCAACATTAGCCAAAGTTTTATGACTCGATCGGTTAGAGTTGAACTGCATTCGCAATTTAGCCATAGAGCGCTTTTTTGTTGGCAATATGTGCTGAGTTGATTGACCAAATTTCTAGCGTAAATCAGCGAACTCGTCGAATTCTGCACTCGCATCGTGCTGTCTACAAAACTCGCAACATTTAACGACTTCGACCTTGTTCGGTGTCTAAGCGAAGTGCGCTGATCGCGCAGTCGCGGCGACGGTGATATGTGGCTTCGCATCGTCGTCCGCTGCGATCGCAACATTCACAGTGCTGCTCTACAAATCACCTTTTATCGGCGATCATCGCGCTACGCCGCCCCATCGCGGTGGCGGCAATCGCTCGTATACACACTCCCCCCGTCGGTGCAGGGAAGTCACTTCGTGATCGAAAAAACTTTCTTCATAGCGTAAGAGGGAGTGAGAATGGGAAAATCGTGTGGGTACGGTAGCTACAATAACGATCATAGTTCGTTTAAAAAGTCATCAAACTCTACCGGAGTTTACTGAAATCCGCGTCGCATCGCTATATCTCGGAAGAGAGTGATTAAATTTCGAGTCCAAAAACATTGGTCGACTCGGATCGGCGAAGCGTTCTCTATATAGAAGCGCCCGTTTGGATAGATACGGTAGCTGCACGGTAGGCCTCGGATTTCACGAATCTTTTTAGATCTTCGCTTACGGTAGGTCGGTAGGTTACTCAGCGTGCTCAATCATTGCACTCGCTGGAACTTACCGTAAAAATTCAAGAGATGAAATCTGTTTTCCTATTCATACAAACTGGTGCTTTCATAATAGAAGTTGCCAGGCTGAGTCGAACGTTGCCCTCGGGTTCAATTCGTCCCACTGAGCCAAGAATTAGTGATGCGAGGCGGATTCCGGTGAAACTTTGTTAGAGTTCGGTGACTTTTTCGAATTATAAGTGGTACTGTAAAGGCTGAGCTTGGTAAGGCAGGTACACCCTTAATAATTCTGAAAAAAGTTTTACTCAACATTCTTAAGGTTATAATCAAATGAATAATGTCTTCAATACCTGCTGTATCTCTGCTTCATCTGCCACAAATCATGCACATCTGGTCGCAAAAATTTATGTTGCGCTTAAGCGTTTGAGGTTTCACCCATTCAGGTCTGTAGACGCTTCTTATTTGAAGCTTTCTTTATTTTCAGTTTTAGACTCATATCTCTTTGCGGAAAGATTCAAAAAATTGTGCCGTTGGGCGTCTGACTTACTATATTTATAAAATTGCAGTCCATCCTTCATACAAAATTTGTATTCCTGCGCATATGAGACTCGGACTTTTTTGAGAAAGTCATACAGTGGTGCTGGAAGGTGGTTTGCTCTACATTCCATAAACATAAATGTTCGATAACTCAACGGCTTAGGGACACTCTATCGCATCTGCATCGCTTTCAGAGCGACCTTATCCGACTCATTCGTTATCAGCCGCGCTTAGACTCGTGATCAGCTTGTGAGGATATCATCTTCTAAGATTTCCAGCCATAATAGTTTTGGATAAATCCCCGCACGTTTCAACGCGAGTATATTGCATTCTTTGGAACTTCGTAAAAAGTAGAAAAACCAGAAAATTATGTAACTTTGAATTCTGAGCGATATTTGCTTTGTTCGATAGCAAATTCCTCAAATTGACTTTAAATGGCTGGCTAATTGACTTTAAACTTTTTTAGCTACTTTCAGTAGTGTTGTGTGAAATGGCTCCAGCCTATTACCAGAGGCGTATTTCCTGGACCCACGGTCCCGACATTGTGAGCGAGGTCATGTTCCCACTGGGATGATATCAAAGAGGCTTAACACTACGTTGACACCTCGCAAACAATGAGAAACACGTTCACACTTTGTCTTGGTTGGGAAACGCTGGTCCCAGGAGCTAGCTAAAGAAAGGGGGTGAGGGTTTTAGCTGTTGTTTACTTGTGAAAAAATGCAGAAATGAATTCTGCCGAATGCCACAGTATCTCGTCCAAACTGGAAGATGCCAAGAAAAGCTCACCAAAAATCACATTTTGGAACTTCCGACTGGATTTTCGCATTCAATGTCGTTTTTCCATGCAAAGCTTCATATGAATTTTTCTTGTTGCTTTTTATATATTGTTTCTTGAAGAGAGGTAGTTCAAAGTTTTTGCTATCACATTAAAACTACTCAGGATTTTCTACTTTCGATAGAGAACAATTATGTATGCCCCAACATGGTTAAACTTGGAAAGCTTTTTTTCTTTAAAGGTTCAAAGCTTTGTTTTCATGGCGTAATGGATGTAGAAATGGGTAACTTGGTCATTTAGCAAACAATAATAAAATTTGTGATCTGCTATTTTAAAAGTTTTTAACTAGAAAAACCGCGTTCTTTCTCACAGCGCACGATGAGGAAACCCCGATTTTCACATTTTCCGCTATTCATTAATAGAGAATCAAATCCATAAATCAAAACTCTTACATAAATTCTGTAGCCTCTGTATCCTGTAATTCCGTATTCATACAAAATTACTCGAGTTTGGGGAAAGCCGACAGGAGCGATAACGGTACTTTTCCGTTATCCGGACCCATTTCTTCAAAAGGCTCTTATAAAATACGCTCTGTAGTCTTAGAACAATTTTTCTTAGATTCT